TCTATTAAGCGTTGTTGATCGTCCAGGAGTCTCACACCAAGATATAACTAATTAAGATTATCTAAAAATAGCAATCAAGCGCTATTTATTTTGTCTATGAAGATTTGTATTTTAAATTAAATTTAAAAAATTCTCAGCGACATGCAAAGTGCAGCCGTTACAACACATTTGGCATACTTTAGCATTATTTAGTATACCTTGTAGAGCTATATGAGCTATATGCTAATTAAATGAATGTGTCTCAGCAATAGACGCTTTAGCTTTTAGACGTTTTATAATTAGAAAAAAGGGGATATAATAAAACGTTAAGGATAAGTATATCCATTTATCTTTAATACCCGGATCATTTCAAACCTGGATTAATAGCATTGTATTTAATAAACAGATGTTTAAATAAAATAAATACAACATTACACAAACAGCAAACAAATAAATATATGTATGGGTCACATATTTAGCATTTTTAGTATTTTTAAAGATCTGTAACTGACTTACTATTGTTTGTTATTTTTCAGTTACCTTCTTACAGATCAAATTCAGTCTACTATTCTTACAATATATTAAAGCTGCATAAAAGTTTATAAAGTAATTTAAAAGTACAAACAAACAGATAATCGCTGATAAACGGTTAACGGTATAATATATTTAGAAAGAAAAAAATAGAGGTGTAAATAAATATTTAACGAAAAATCACATTTCATTCCCATTCCGGTAAAACTAAGCTAAACATAACAAATTATCGATACACAATAGTAGTGTCAAGTCACTGACTCGAGCTCGACTCCTGCGGCCGTGTTCTTGGAAATTTACACGAAAAATTATTTATTGCACATACTATCAATCCATCGCTGCTTTTAGCTGTCGTACTAGTAGACATGAACTAGCTTAAGAATTAATGGATATTGAAATGTGAAATCAGTTACATTTTCGGAGACAATCGTAGTACTGGAGGTGAATCATTTTATTTAAGTATATTTCATTAAAAACAACATTATTTAAAACACTAAGCACTTGTTTATGAAATGTTATCCCTTTATTTAAAATTTTACAGTTGGACATGCTTCAAAATACCATTTTTACGTGTGCGTCCGAAACAACACTGGTGACCGAAACAAACGCTCAATGTTTATCAATCAACAGTAAAAATTTCATTAAGCAAAAATTGCACAAAAGCGTTATTATAATATTGAGAACTACATGAATGAAATTAACCTTTAGGAAAGAGGTATTTGCTATCATGATGTTTTTATGTAATAATCCTTAATGAATAATATATTTTATTTTATTCTATTCTATTTGTATTCCAATATCGTAATCCATTTATCAATTGGCCAGCCAAGTGTAACGATTGAGAAAATATCTGGGATGTAAGAAATTTGACGAATTGTTTTATAATGAGCTATCACAGTCGCGGCTGTGCCCAAACCACCGATTTAGACAAGAGATAGATATAAGAGGTAAAACGGTTGAACTGATTATACTAATGAGAAATTGACAAAATCATCGACCATATTCCCGTTTCCTCCCCCAAAGCCCGACAGATTCCGATTTCTATTCAGCATGAGCAGGATATATGATTATATGTGTATATTTTTCTTTTATTTTTACTTTTCATAAATTAATTTACTGGTTGTCTAATAGCAGCGTTATAACTGAACAGCTTTAGTAATTTTGGAAGATTCATAGTTTTTTAAATAAATAATTTATGGCATTAAACATAACACAGGAACCTGACAAAAACGAATTGAAAAAAATATTGCTCGACTGTCATTATCCAGACCCAAAACAAAGAAATACGTTTGTATGGACCAAGCATACATTCATAGGCAAATATAGAATTTGTCAATTACTTGACTGCAGCATAGCATAACGGATCATATTATGTCAAGTATGACCATGACCTTAATCAGATCACTGACCTGTATATATACAAGTACGCTGGACTGGCAATATACAAAATGTCTGGTTCGATTTGAAGCGCCACCATTGTCCGCCTCGGAAACTACAATTGACATAATATGCCAAAGTCTGTTGTCTTATAACTTTTATATCTTCTATAAACTTTTAAATCAAAAAACGATAGTATTTTATGTGGTTTGATTGTGAATAATTTTAGTTACATAAATAAGAACTATCCTATACATTTAAACGAGCAATTCTTGTATATATATAATCGGGATCTCGGAAACAGTTCCAACGATTTTCATAAAATTTAGTGTCCAGGGAGTTTCGGGGGCAATAAATCGATCTAGCTAGGATTTATTTTTAGAAAATGTCTTTTTGTCCGTGTTTTCAGGCAATAAAAAAATGCTACAGTATAAGAAGGTAAATTTTGACACATTACCAACGATCGTAGTAGCTCAGATGGGATGTTGTTCGGGCGTGATATCGGAGTTCCGTGGTTCGCATCCCGCCTTGGGTCCGAATTTATTTCATTTTTTTTTCAAGTTCCCTTCTTTTGTGAGAAAATCTATTATTTCGAGCCCTTTTTTTTAGTATTTTTTAAAAATACGAAAATTTTAATTAAACTAATTGCACTCTTGATTTTTTATTCAAATAACCAGTTCAGTTTTTTCTATGTCAATAACATCAAAAACTATTATTCACGTAATTTGTATATAAATGTAACTTAAAAAAACCGAGCAAAGCTCGGTCATCCGGGTACTATATATATATATATATATATATATATATATATATATATATATATATATATATTATGTAATCGGTATCTCGGAAACGGCTCCAACGATTTTCATAAAATTTTGTGTCCAGGGAGTTTCGGGGGCAATAAATCGAATTATTTTTAGAAAATGTCTTTTTGTCCGTGTTTTCAGGCAATGAAAAACTGCTACAATATAAGAAGGTAAATTTTGACATTGTGTTAATGATCGTAATAGCTCAAATGGATATCGAGCGGTCGGGAAATCATATTGCCTTGGTTCGCGTCCTGTCTTCGGTCCGACTTTTTTCTTTTTTTTTTCAAGTTCCCTTCTTTTGTGAGAAAATCTATTATTTCGAGCCCTTTTTTTAATATTTTTTAAAAATACGAAAATTTTAATTAAACTAATTGCATAAAATATTTTAATTAAAACCGAGCAAAGCTCGGTCATCCAGGTACTTTTTAATAATAACGAGAGTGTGCGTAATATAAAACTCGTTACCAAAAGGAAAGTGGTATAACATACCACAAGTAAGTTAATTTACAGCTAATATTAAACAAATTAAAACTATTTGATAATATAGGTACTTAAAAATTTGTTACTAATCTTAATATCGTAATTGCATTATTAAGTTTTGATAAATAGTAAAATTCAATAGGGTTGTCGAGTTCCTTGTCTATAATACTTATCGATGTCCTTTCCTACCCATATCTGTTAACAACCAAAGTCGCCGACAACAGATAATTAATTATCAAATGTTTATTAATTAACAGGTTTCAAACTGACCCTACACTAAAATTTTGGCTTAAAACCTTAAAAGCGTAAATATTTTGAATTGGTGTGCGAAACAAAATTATTACCTTTGTTCTAAACATTTCAGTGTATCAACAGTGTAGTGTAGAGCCGTGGTAGCTCAGATGGTGAACGCTCGCTGTAAATATAACAGAATGCGAGTAACCCGGGTTCGATCCCCGCTGGCACCAATGAAATTGTTAATTGCAATTTTAAGTGCTGATTTACCACGTGCTCGGCGGTGAAGGAAAACATCGTGAGGAAACCTGCATGTCTGAGGAATAAGAAAAAATATTTCGAAGATATGTGAAGTTCGCCAACACGCATTGGGGCAGCGCGGCGGACACTTCCCTGCCCTAAAACCCTCTCAGAAATGAAGGGAGGCCTGTGCCCAGCAGTGCGACGTATATAGGCTGTAACTTTACTTTACTTTACTCGAAACATTTCACAATCGACTGTTTTATTAGACATGAAAAACGCACTACTTTGAAAAAGTGCAGTGTACCGGCAATGTTTTCTGGTACCAGTACCAGTAATTTTAAAAGTATTACATTATTATTTTGATTTTTTTATTTCTTCTTATCTCAATTTCCCTCAAACTCAAGGGCCATAGTCAAGTGTAGAAAGCTCGCCTGATGATGACTTTGTGTTTACAAGACTTATTTTTTTAAATTTGTTTAAATATAAACAATTTATTATATAAAGGAAATAAATTTATATTAGGCTGCGGCTAGAGGAGATTCCTCTCCATATACCGCTGCAGCGAGTTGGTTTTGAAAGGGAAGAGGGGTGTTGGTATGGCGATTAGTGATGCACCGCTCGGCTATCCTCAAACGTGGTCCTTCACTGCTGGCCGTAAAAGGAAGCACAAAGTCGCTCAGTGAGCTATGGAGAGGGCTATACTCGGGATTTCTCCGCTTGATAAAGGAATGAGAATATCCGCAGTAGAACCAGAGTGACCGATATCTCCCAACGGATCAGTAAGCTGAAGTGGCAATAGGCCGGCCATATAATTTGAAGAACCGATAAACGACAAAGAAGAAAGGTTCTCGAGTGGCAGCCTCGTAAGACATGCAGGAAGTTGATGGATGCAGGTGGCTCAGGACTGTGTTTTGTTGTAATTATTGGGGTACGCCTATGATAGGCAGTGGACCTGTGAAGGGCTCTAATGATAATGACATTACCTTAATATGGTACGTAAATAGAATGGACGTTAGGGGTAGAGGCCTACCCATAACATCCATTTTATGTATTTAGGTATAGGGTAGAGCATAGAATTTTTATCGATATATTTTGTCACACTATGTTATCTCTATTATTGATTCCGTGGACGTTCACTTCTGCTGTCAGCGCCAAAATGGCGTAAATAAAATCGCCTCATTATGTCAAGGTGTATAGCCAGTCCATATATAGAGGTCAATGAGTCAAGTGGTTCAGAAGTTACAAGATCACTAATAGAGGCTTCAACGATTATATCAACATAGTATAATATTCCACAAAACAAATAATGTCACATACATAATTTTTAAATAAAAATTTTCTCACCTGGCCATATCGTGACGAAGCTAGATGCACGTTCCGGTTCTTCAGTGAAAAATCGGGGCGTTTTCCAAGTCCATAGCCACTCTTGTTCTGCGAGATGAACTTCTTTGGCCTATCCAGTCTTTCCGTAGACCCTGTATCCGTCTCCTCATCCTTCTTTGAGGTTGAAGGGATGCCTCTATAAGCGCCCCTGGTCCCTCTGATAGTCTTCTCTGGACTCTTGTCCTGTTTCCTCGTAATAAGATTGTCCTTCCTTTGTTTGGTGCTTCTTACTGACACATTCGACGCCATATTGTCCATAATTATCCATCAAATGACTATAAACAAGACGTCAGTCTCTTCTACTGTGTTCGTAATTCATTGTGATCATGTAACCTCAAAATTGCCACTAAAAGCCTACTCTCAACTAAAGATTAAATACGAATAAATAGAACTCGTAAGCTTCATTACAATTGCTACTCCCTTATTTAGAATAAATCGATCGATACATCTCTCAAACCTCAATTCCCTCAGGACAGGATATAATGGATTACTAAAAAATAATAAGGAATTACAAACTATCAATTAATTATTATTCAATAAATAAATAACTATATCCGTCTTTTTTTCTCTCTCACAGTTGGCATCCTCTAGCGACTACCCCAAACATTCTTTAAACTAACAAAAAGCATATAAATCTAAATTGTAACAGTCTTCAGGAAGATTTTGGAAAGTTATTGCAGGATCGAGCTCTTGTTTGATGGTATCTGAAACAACGAAATTGTTAATTTTATTAATTGACATCAAAAGAATATAGAGTCAAGATTAAATGTAAGAAATTCATGTAAAAAATATTAGGTCCTTCAGAAAATAAAATCTTTGGTCCATAAATGAAATTATTAGGTAAATTTAATCTAATGTAAGATGTCCAGATACTATAAGTTCACACTGCATAGATCGAAACAAAAATTAATGATTTTAATCTGGAGGTAGTGGTTAACTATGACATTGGGACGTTGAACACCTCAGTCCCCCCCCCCCCGGTGGGTGCTTTAAAGTGCTCAAAATGTCGGGAATATAAAATAAGTTCATATACATTATTATACGCTATTATATTATAAAATCCGTATAAACTATTTTTATTTAAATTCTGTTTAAATTTTCGGCACAAAATAATATAGGCATAGATCTTCCTAAGAATGCGCCTGCTGTCAACAGTTACATTAAAGATCAGCTTTCTGTACAAATCTGGGCTAGGTAAATTAGCATATAACCAATTCCGTTCAAACTGGTATGTAATGTTGGCCTTGATCAGTGATTTTACTGTCAGATAGAACATTTTGCATACAAGTAAGCAATATGTCCAAACCCAGGAAAAGACTTAGCGGATGCCCGCAGAGATCTGTTCTTGGAGCATTAGTATTTATCCTTTATTTATCGAATTTTAAAAGCATGTTACAGCTACCATTCTCATTGGTTATCGACAACACAAACCTTTTTGGAAATTCACAAACACAATTCCCATATATACAAGAGGATGTGAACACCATCTGCAATTGGAATAGTGATTAGCTCCTAACATTGAATGCAGACAAGTGCATGATACTATATATTAAAAAAATAATCCACAAAATCTACATTATCTAGGTGACATTTTTTTTTAATTATGGAATCATAATCAGATTTTTTCAATTACAATAACCTATGACCACACATAGAAAACTCATAGTCTAAACATCACAGAAAAGGCAAATTATATACTATACTATTTAATGTTATTGTACTAGTGTGTTAAATTATTAACAATAACAGGAATTTAGGTTTGTTTTAATTTGCTCAGATAACAAGTAAAGCACCCTGGTCCTGCACCCATTTTTATAAAAATAATGGTGACAAATAAACACAGTTCATGTGATAGCAAATGGATACTGTGGCTTATAGAAATTTACATCTTTGTTTGAGAATCAAAATTCAGATGTGTCATCCCCGAGGACTAACATGGAATGCATTGTTTCAAGTATAAAGAGTCTCTGGTTCTCTACCTTATCACTTATCATAAGAAATACAGCAATATTAAGCTGATATTTTATGCCAGTATTGTGTGGGAGTGTTGTCCCTAGTCATGCATTCTCTATCATGTTTGAAGGACTCTGGTTGTGTTGGATTTGGTGATGTTTTTTCTGGTGATGTTGGACAATTATAAGGAGAGGAATAGATTGCACATGGTCTAGTGAGTCAAATGCTTTTGTATGATCTAGACATAAGATTTCTTCCCATACATATTATTTTTCTCTATTATCTGTTCAACTTCACACTTTGCCCGTGGATTGATTGTGCGTGTGTGCGTGTGTGCGTGTGTGCGTGCGTGCGTGTGTGCGTGCGTGCGTGTGCGTGCGTGCGTGTGTGTGTGTGTGTGTGTGTGCGTGTGTGTGTGTTATGTAGGTAGGTGTATGTGTATTTTACACGACAACCTCTAAAAGACTTTCTGTTTTTGCATAGGTTTGCTTAAGGAGCCACTTGAGAATAATGTTTTTGCACTCATATTGATTTCGATAAAAGAGGGATAAGGTTTTATGCAATTTATTATATAAATAGGGGCCAAGGAATATGAAGAATCTGTGACTAAATGTAGTTTTAACTTGAGTTGACTTTGCAACTAGTTGGTTACGTCATGTCCATTCAGGGATATATTTGGTTGAGGCATGTTGTTTGAGAGCGGTGGTTAAAATGAATAATTGTCTAACTGTTAGTACTTGGCAATAGTCGTAAAGTTGGTCTGTAGGAAACATACGCAGTTTAAATTAAATCAATGCTAAGTCATGTGACTTTACATTTAGATATCTCATTCCCATTTTATTTTTAAAGATTTCTGTAGCATTATCAGTAGCTCAGAGGGTTAGCGGTCACTGTAAATTACACAGTACGCGGGCAAACAGAGTTCGATCCCCGCTGGCAGCAATGAAATTGTTAATGGCAATTTTAAGTGCTGATTTACTATGGGACTGACGGTAAAGGAAAACATAGTGAGGAAACCTATCTGGCATATCTGAAAATAAGAAAAAATATTTTGAAGACATGTGAAGTTCACCAACACGCATTGGGGCAGCATGACAGACAATTCCTTACCCTAAAACCCTCTCAGAAATGAGCGGACGCCTATGCCCAAGAGTGGGATGTAATAAGCTGTAACTTATCTGTAGTAGAAAGTCATCTTTACTAGCCCCACAGGTAATACAAACCCACCCATCCCCTCGTTAGCCGGCCGGCCATTTGCAAATAATGCGCATCCGCTAAGGCATTAGTAGATAATTTCCGCGATATCGGCGCGTGGCGATTAAATTAGTAATTTCTCCAAAATATTGTATGGGAGCTATGTATAAAACTTATGTCATTTGAATTGTTATATTATTTGCTATTATTTTGTACTTATCTTAGTTGAATACAACCTAATAGATTTTATTAAGCCGATTTCAAAGTTAGAAAACCAATTTTTTTTTAGTATTTCTAAACATTATTTGTGAAAATTAAACAGAAAAATCATTCATTTATAAAATAAATGTATTTTTTTTTTCATCAATATACACTAATTTATAATAAAAAAGCAAAAACCACACATTACTATATATTTTTTACACCAAAAGTTTTTTACAATCTTAACATATGAACGGCAACCCAAGCGTCGCACAAAAAATAGCATATATTGTTACTTTTATTTTGAGAAAGGAGGGAGTCAAGTGGCGTACAATAATTTTAACATTAAGTATGGTTCAAGTTCTTAATTTAGACAAAGATTCATTTCTAAAAGGTATGTAATGTATTTTAAATCAACAATAGAAATAAATGTAAGGTAAGTAGGTATAATGGCCGTTTATGTTCGAATTTTTTTTTAATGAAAAGGATACATATCCCTAAATTATGAATTAAAAACTGTTGGTTATTAACCCTTCCATGTTAAAATAGCACCAAACTTCACTATTTGTTTGATTAATGAATAAAAAAGGGACAAAAACAGGGATGGGCGAACACATAAAAGTGACATTCATGTAAGACTGCCACACAGGCTGTTTATTAGAATTTTCTAAACATTGTAGTAGTTTAGTAGCTTTGTATCGCTTCCTCTTTCTTTAGTGTATAATTTTATACAGGTAAGTGTGAAAGCAATCATTGTCGCCGGTTATTTTACCCACCAAATAACCAGCCGCGTATCATCCAGAAACTGGTCGCTTGCCAGACGCGCATAATAAACCATTGGCCAGAATCTGGCCGGTCACCAGACAAGGGGATATTAAAGAATCAAACAGCTTAATTAACTTAAGCAGCTAATTAAAAATTTATTCTGGATTCCGAATCAATATAAATATATTGCTTAGTGATATTTTGTTTCTATCATTGCATATGAAATGTTGCCTAATGTTTCATAGGCCTAAATAAGAAATTGAGGTCATCCTCATAATATATATTTTATAACAGAGTAAATATATATGCAGTGAAAAAAGACAAATTTATTAAAGAGCTTCCAAGAAGTTAATACTTAAACTAAGCCCCAGCTAAGACACATCTGTGATAAAAAGGTAAAATGTTTTCATAATTTTATTTTGTTATGTAAGTTATATGAAAAAAGCATTAATATAAATAAATTACAATCAGAGTGAGATTTTAGATGTGAAATGATAACAGATGTCCTTTGACAAAAATAAAGCTTTTAATGGATTTATAATGGACTGCACAAACACTAAGCTGCGAGTATTTTATTAATTAACAAGAAAGTAGACAACAAATGATGTGACAATACTGCTTTAACCGTGAGTCATCTACCTACTCAATAATTTTTTTGATAAACTGAAATACAAATACATTTGACTGTCCCCTCGATAAACAAAATTATCCATATGAATAGAGCCATGCATAAAAGTAAGTGTAAAATTTTACTATAATAAATGAAATAAAACCTCTGAACATTTGTCTACTAAAAATTGGGTTGTCTCTTAACTGATATGTAACTAAGTTAGAACAGAACATAGAAAACAATTGGTTTTTCATTGTATGCTGTGTGATATGTGGATATGACATTTCAGTTCTGATATATATTTACAGACAGGAACTAATACAAAACAGTAATCACACATGTCGAACCGTTGACTAATTTTACGATTCAAATGACACGTTACCTGCAGATGAATTTGCGTCCAGTGCAATAAGAAAACAACACAGATGTTACAATTATCGAAGCCTAGGTGCCGGCATCTATAAAAAAATTGCACTAAACACTATGCGGGTGTCCCAAACTTACACGACCCTACAACATCAGGCATCTAATAATT